TGATGATCTGGATTCCAGACATACTTCACGTTGGAGCTCGTGAGGGAGGACAAGGTTTTAACGACACTAGAGAAATTCTTTATGAACTTCCTATAGTAATTCGCAAATCCCAGGAATCGTGGCAAGGCCCTGCGAGACTGGGGCACCGGCCAGTTCAGGATACACTCGATCTTTGAGTCGTCCATCTGTACCCCCTCCGGGGAGATAATGTACCCTAGGAAAGGAACTGTCTCCTGCTCAAAATAACATTTCTCTGTCTTGGCGTACAGACAATGGGCTCTGAGTCTGGACAGTACCCAGCGAACATGCTTACGGTGGTCATGGAGATTATCCGAGTATATGAGGATATGAGCAAGGTAGATTACTACACATACGTCTAGGATATCTCTAAAAATGTCGTTGATAAAGCACTGGAATGTGGCTGGAGCGTTGCACAACCCGAACGGCATGACCATATATTCGAACAACCCGTATCGGGTTCTAAATGCGGTTTTCCACTCATCGCCTGCCCGCATCCGTATAAGATTGTATGCCCCTTTTAGGTCGAGTTTGGTGTAGATCTTCGCAGTCCGCAGGCGTTCTATGAGTTCCGGAATGAGGGGTAGAGGGTAGCGTTTTTTTATAGTAATGGCATTCAATGCGCGGTAATCTATGATAGGTCTGATGCTGACGTCTTTATTGTGGACGAAGAACATTCCAGCTCCTGCAGGGGAGGTGGAAGGGCGAATTAATCCTTTCTTTAGATTTTCCTCCAGGTAGCCCTTAAGGTGGTTTAGTTCGGGTTGGGACAACTGATAAATCCTCCCTACGGGTATCGTACTGCCCGGGAGAAGATCGATGGGGCAGTCGTATGACCGGTGTGGAGGCAGTACCTCAGCATTGGTGGGGTTGAAGACGTCCTGGAATTCTTGGTAGTGGACGGGGAGTTTGTGAGGGTTACGAAGCAGGAGGTTCCTTGAGGGGTAACAGGTGTTGTGACAGTATGAGGAGTTCAACTGCACCCTGTTCTCTGCCCAGTCGAGATCGGGTTGGTGTAACCTCAGCCATGGAATGCTGAGTATGACAGGGAAGACTGGAGATGGGATTACATCGAACGTCATGTATTCTCGGTGGTCGTCATGTGTGGTCACCATCATGGGTTGTGTTTGAAGGTCAATTGGACCAGATGTTAAGGTGGTTCCGTCCACGAAGCTGACGGACAAGGGTCTGGATTTTTTACAAGTGGGAATACCATGTTGGGAGACCAGGTGTGCATCTATGAAATTCCCACATGCGCCGGAATCTAGCAGGGCGTTAGTCTGTATTCTTTCTTGTTCCCACTGCAAGGATAAGAAGAGATATAGGTAATTCATAGATTTCATGTGGGGTGAGGAAATTCTAGCAATGCGACTCTCCTTACCTGCAGCCTTCCGCTTTACGGCCGGACACTCCTCCACTAGGTGAACAGATGAGGCGCAGTACATGCAGAGGTTCTTCGACCGACGTCGGGATCTTTCCCCTGGCGTTATTGGACCTCTGATGAACCCGACCTCCATAGGTTCGGCTGGAGGGAGTGTGGTTGATTTGCGTGGTGTCCATGGTATTCCGGTGCTTTTTTCGTAACGACGTTCCCTCAAACGAAGGTCGATGGAGATAGCGAGCTGCATGAGCGCATCTAGGGACAGGGGTAGCACTGTCCTGGCTAGCTTGTCTTTGACCGCCTCTGAGAGCCCCAGACGGAACTGGTTCCTGAGACTGATCTCATTCCATTCCGTCTGGCGCGCCCATCTTTTGAATTCAGCGATGAAGTCTTCCACCGGCCGCTTCCCCTGGCGAATGTTTCGAATGGCGGTCTCTGCCGTGATTTGCTTACAGGGATCTTCATATAACTGTGACATGGCTGTGACGAATCCGTCGTACGACTCCAGCAACGGGTCGTTGGTTTCTATGTATGTATTTGCCCAGGCCCTGGGCTCCCCCCTAAGGTAGGAGATTAATTTATGGACCTTCACGTGATCGTTAGGGTATGACCTGGGTCTGAGCTCGAACATGAGCTTGCAAGCAAGTAGGAAGTCACTATAGTCCTTCCGATCTCCCGAAAAGGTGTCGGGTGGATCCATTTGAACAGGTCTTCAGTACTGTAACACTCGCCTGTAGTGTTGCCTACGGGATACAGTGGATCGCAACTGCGGATGAGCGGGAATGCTATAGGACGGGAATCAGAGAGCAACTTATCCTCTTTCTGCCCAGTTTTGGATTGAGGCCAAGAGTAAGTTGCAACACATCACACCCTGTATAAATCATAAGGTTACAGTTAGGGAAAACAGCCTCCCACTGTGCTGTACCTCTGATCGACACCAGGGGGGGGAAACAGCAATGGGAGTCAAATAGGCAGGTAGACTAATGATATCAAATGCAATAGGTGGTATTCCCCGAGTAATTAGCTTGTATTGTGTGAAGACAGCAAATGCAATATATGGTATTCCCAGAGTACTTGCGGTTAAGGTGGTTGTGGAGTCTCCAGCCAGGGTAGGGTGGTTTAGGTCTTTAGGAAGGCGAGTGTGGAGCTGGTTTGGTCAGCGTCCAGTACACTCAACTGAAGACGCCGATCAATACTGGAGCTGCGGCTTTTAAGCCGGGTGCTGCGTCTGGAGGGGGCGGAGTTTCGTGACGCTCCTGCGCCAGACGCCTCCCACGCGCCTGCGCAAGGCGTCGCCGTAAGGCAGCGGCGGACATCTCCCTCTGACACTGGCGGCCCGGGGCCACCGACCCACGGCGCGCCTGCGCAGTCCGTCCACGAGCCGCGGCGCCAGCACTGACCAGGCTGCGGCTGTTACAGTGCATGAGTTTGCACTGCAGCCTGGAGCTGGAGCCTGGAGCCCAGCCATTAAGAATCAGATTGCGATTGAGTCTCAAAATTTAATGAATAAGACCAAAAGGGAGGATCAACAGCTTATTCAAAGAGGTAAGCTTTCCATGGTGAAGACGAAATAGAAGCACATTTTCTCCCTTGTAACCTCAAATATAACTTGCTAATTAGATTGTTTTATTACTGAATTAAATGGCTTGCCACAGGAGAAATAGGGGTTGTGTCAGTCGTCTCTTCTCTTGCCTATTCTGCAGCAACACAGGAGACGACTGACAAGTGCTTTTGCATGTTGCTCATTCTACAACAGGAGAAATTCAGGCGTTGTCAGTTGTCTCCTCTGTATTGTTTGTTTAGCTTGATAGGGATGGATAAGAGCTATACTGGCACATGAAAATCTATTGGTGACGTGTTCACTCGTCTGCTGATGCACCGGCATTTCATCCTATGCTATGACAGGCTCCACAGTGGGATTTGTTACTTAATGGTTTCTTGCACCGGGGCCCTGAGGTTTCTAGTTACGTCAGTGCTAACAACATTTTTCAAAAATAAATAGACTTTGACCCTACACTCCATACACTATCAAGTGTATTTCTGATGGGGATCACAAGTGTTTGCGATCAACTGTGGCTGCTCAGCCTGTACAAATTAATGACAGGGTGACAAGAGCTGCGGCTGTCCTTAACTGTCCACATGTAACTACCTATTGAACGTTTAGATGTGGCTAAGGACAGATGAATAGCCATGGATGCAACTCACAGCGTCCAGGGCCGCTCATCTGTCGCTAGCTGCACTTAACTGATTAATGTGCGGTTACGTGAGAACAGCTGCACCGCCTGTCAGCTTGTCATTTATTTGTGCAGGCTGTGTGGCTGTAGCAGATCACATACACTTGTGATCCCCACCAGAGGGTTGCGCTGATTCTTAGCGGTGTACAGAGGTAAACACATACATGAATGTGTCCTTTAGGTCAACAAATGACTGTGTGTTGCCAGTGTAAGCCTAATTGTACCCATGGAAAGACCTTTTATATATGGAAAGCTGATTTTTCATAAAGTTGATGCATGCATAAACATTCCAGACAATTTGACATTCATGTCGGCTTCTTCTTCCAAATAAATACAATTTTCTAGAACACCTTTTATACAAAACCAGTTTTTAAAATTACCTCTCCGAAATGTTCATACTTTTCTTATTAGGAGACTGAAGGATTGGACTGTGATTTTATGGTGATGTTCAAGCAACTTGGAAAATTTCAGGGTGCTATAAACACCTACTCCTGAGAGGTCTTATTAATGTCCCATAGGGAAGTTAGAGATGGACCAATCATTGCAAGCAATGATCTAACAGGAAAGGCTGTCATCTAAAGACCAGTCAATTTTCAGGAAGATTTAATTAGCAAAGTTTGAATATTCATTGGTTGTCCTTTCTGATTGTTTACAAGCTAAAAGGTAGCAGTGTAGCAGATATCTTTTAGACTGTAATTGCCCTGTATGTGAAATAATTGTTAATACCGGCAACATTTCTTAAAAGGATTGTCTAAGGAGAATGAGTTCCAAAAAGTTAGAAAATTATTTTGACTAATATTCCCCATTTTATCTGCCATCAGTCATTGTTTTTGTACTTATAATGCTGATATGCTGTTTATTTCCTTTGAATATACATTCAATATTCAACCAATATTTGTCTCAAAGTTGTCTCCTTATGGCCAGCATTTGTCACAGCTTCATGCTACCATGAACTGCAGGCTTTAATACATTTACAGATAGCGATTCCAAAGTTTAATGGACTAAAATGACTGGTGTAGCCAAGCCTACGCTCCTGAGACCCTTCAATACATATCAGTAAATGCTATCAATAGCTCTTATATATAAGCTAGCTCGTATTTTGGGTTTATGGGTCCTGTAAATTCCTCCGGACAGAAAAAAAGCACCAGGATGTAAGTAAATACTCTCCGAAAATAAAATGAAAAAGAATTTTCAAAACAAGAGCTCCAGCTAGCTCCTTTTCCAGTAAAGGTCCATCCTGTCTAGTTCCTGCTGCTTTATCATCTTTATCTTGCAAATAAGTCAACTGATCTGTTTAAGGTGAGAACGCTTCCTGGTTGCTACAGGTACGCCGTATGACCTGCTGGTGAGTCTTGTGTGTCTGGCATTATGACAGGAAGAACAAAGGCAGGGAGAGAGCAGGTGGAGAATGACAAAGAGAAAACCTGTTACTGTGAACTACGCTGCTACTTTTCTCATAGACTCTCCCAAAGAAATCATTAGAGGAGCAATCCAAAGCATTTCATGTACCTGGCTTCAGCCGCATAATCTGGATCTGAGAAAGACTCTTCTTTACATGTGAATTTCTGTTGCTGAAAACTCTACAGAAAACAGCAGCAGACAGTGGATTGTATTGTACCATGATGAAAGCCATGGCAAAAGAGCAACATGAAAAGGAAAAAGCCTCACAGATTTATGGCCAGGAACTGAGCATGAAAGTGTTTCTGAACTGCTAGAGAAATAATGAAGAGAACTCCATACAGGTACATTATTTGATGTGTCTTTAATGTGTGCACGGTTAATGGAAACGGTGTGTTTTTTATTTTATTGCCTTACATAATTCTTTATACTATATATATATATATCAACTTCAAATGGTCACCTTTTGGTTTCTTTTTGGGTGGATGCAGACAAGCGGCTTCTTGTATCTTTCCAGGACTCTGAGCTTGGAGCGTCTGAAATGCTAGATTGCCCCTCCTGCCCGGCTATTATGAGAAGGTCTCTATGGAAAGGTCTCACTCTTGCTGCTTTTCATTTCTTTTACAAGGCAGGTAATACAGCAGGAGGAATACATAAGACATCTTCACTTGGCTTTGTAATAGCCATGGCGGGGCTGGGGGGACAAGGCTGAAGGGAAGGTCCCACTGCTTGAACCCCAGAGAGATCTAAGAGGTCAGCGAGTGCTTCATTTGAAAGGTGTATCATGCTTTAGAAATAAAATTAGAAGATTACAATCATGCTGACAAAATAAGAAGGGGAACCCTGCAAATACAATCTAAAGGAGCAGTACAAAATACAAACAAAGGGTTCTTTACAACAGATAGCAAGAATATAAACACCTTATATATTAATTGTAATAAATAATGATAATAAGGAACCCTTTTGTTCAATTATAACTCGGAATATAGTTTAAGACAACTGCCACTTATATCTCCTTACTGTGACAATAAACATACATTTGACATATTACATTTGTAGATTGCCATGAATACCTATGACCCGAGAAAATATCTGTGTATCTGGTAATGACGTACTGATGACTGCAGCTGACCCTTTTGGAAGATCTCTGCAGAGGGAAATAATTTTCCTCCAATCTGGAGTTTTTTGGCCAATAGTTGTACTCTACTGCACAAGCAACACAGAGGCTGTGCGCTATTTATATAGCTGTGTATACTTGTAGGATATCAGCATGCAAGTTTATGTGAAAATCAACTGGTTAACTCAACATTCAATAGTCAGATAATCTTGTGATATCCATCTTGTGTTTATGGACTGTTTTAGTGCTTTGGCACTGTCAGTTATTCCAAGTTTTGTACAGAGCTTCTGTGCTGATGTTCATTGTAAACACAACTCGCTTTCCCTGCTCTGTTTCCTGAACACAGAAGCGAGACAGGATGATGAGAAATACATTACCGTATACGCTGAAAGGAAAGGCCACTAGTAGAGGCCTTGCTACGGATCCCTCCATATTGCAGCACAGAATGGTTAACAGCTTTCATAAAAGATTAATTGCTTTATAATGTAATGGAAAAGGTGCAGTAGTTCAGGTTTTTAGATATTGTGGCACTTGAGTTTGAAATATTTACTTAAGCATATTTACGAACCAATCAGATATCAGTTTACTGTAGACAGATCAGTTAAAAGTATACCAATTTCTTCACTGGATTCAGCACTTATAACAGTTGGTCTGAGGTCTGAGGGTGCAGGAATTGGGCTGATCTGGGGTCTATAGGTATAAGAATAAGGGCTGCTCTGAGTTCTGAAGGTGCAGGAGTTGGGGCTGATTTGAGGTATGAAGGTGCAAGAATTGAGGTGTGAAGATGTAGGAATTGGAGCTGATCTGAAGTCTGAAGTTGCAGAAATTAGGACTGATCTGAGGTCTGAAAGTGCAGGAACTGGGCCTGATCTGAGGTGTGAAGATTCATAATTTGGGGTTGATCTGAGGTGTGAAGGTGCAGGAATTGGAGCTGTTCCGAGGTCTGAAGGTGCAGGAATTGGAGCTGATCCGAGGTCTGAAGGTGCAGGAATTGGAGCTGATCCGAGGTCTGAAGGTGCAGGAATTGGGGTTTATCTGAGGTTTGAAATTGCATGAACTGGGGCTGATCTGAGTTGAACTTGTTATTAGCAGTACACTTATTAGTACAAAGAAAATAAAAACAAACTATACAACTATGTCACACTATTATTCACTGACACGTCTGTTGTCTACATTTTGTAGATTAATACTTACAGGGTTATTCACAAAAGGTGAAGAGTTTGTAGAAGGCAGGAGAAGTGAACAATCTAGGACAAAATAACTGATTTGGAAACATTCTCCAATTCAGCTCACTTTCCAGCTCAGCTATGTTGTTCTAGATTGTTCATTTCTCCTGCCTTCTCCAAACTCTTCACCCTTTTGTGAATAACCCTGAGAATGGTGCTGACCCCTAGTCTAACCAATCATCCAGCCCTAACTAGATTTGATCTATTCAGTGACTGCCAGTGACCGCTTACGCTGATCATGCTTTTCTTAACAAAGTCTCTAAAGTAACCAAACTGGACAAGAAGATGTGCACAAATACAGTATACACTGCAATAATAAATACCGTAGTCTCATGTATGACAGCTTCTGAAATAAGAATTGCCCGCAACATCAAGTCAGGACCAGCATGCATGTGATTCGTTGCTGGGGGGTAACATGGTTCCTATTTCAGACACCGAAGAAGCCCTATGCAAGCCATGAACAGACCAGGCAGGTAATATTACTATTATTTTGTCACTTGTTATTTACTTTAGTCTTTAGGACCTTAAAATACACATTTAAATGTTCTAGATGTGAACAAAACTTACTAAATTATAGACTACTATACTGAAAGATATCCCTTTACTTCCTGTCCCACCGACACAATATGAAGAGCAAGGAAATATCTCTAAACTAAAGGGATATCCCCTCTTAGACAGGTGTCACTGGAATAGAGGTCCTCTCTGGAGGATTTTCCTTCTCTTCCTGTTCTAGTGACAACTGCAACATTTGGGATTTCCCATCACTTTCTACCCCTTTTAAAAAGTCTCACCACAGGGGACTTAAACATAAACTGACAGAGGTTCTAACTCTTCTCCACTCTAACTAAAATTAAATACTAAATGCTTTGGCTTTAGATATGTTTAAATAGTGGTTGTACCCAAACTATATGCTTTGGAATACATTCTGGTCACTTGAATCAGACTTGTTACATCTCAATGGGAATTTGGTGGTGACATTGTGCCACTCAGCTATGGTATCACACACTTTATAGTGTAATATCATTATAAAACGCAAAAGGGAGAGTGGAGTCCTCTTGAAATGACTTGAAATGAGAGACAATCAGTCTTTTTAATTACTCGGTTCACAAAGGTGACATACATTTAAAAATGTTTTCATATTTAATGCTACCTAGTGCTTATTTTTTAATTAAGGTGCATTCTTATGTAAGGTGCATTTTTATATGTGAGTGCATAAGTCCATTATGCACCTAATATGTAGAGTATTTAGTGGTATTTATATTGTCAGTTATGATACTGCTCACAGTGTGTGACAATAACCTATAATTATCATTGTTAATTTGTTAGATGTCTACTTGTTCTCCACCCTTCTCTTGTCCCTGTAAATGATTAAACGTAAAGCTGGCATCCCTGTGCATAGAGCTAGCAACAATACCGAGCCAGTTATCTTCAGGCTTTTAAAACTATCACTAAACTTTTATTGTTCTCCATAAAGCTATGCGTTTCCCTTTTCATACCCCTCCCTTTTAATGAACCAATTAAACATGTACATTAGTTAGTGGAACTATGGGAAAGCCAAAAGAGACATATCTCTCACTCTGTCTCTAGGATTAGCACACAGTTTTTGTTTTTCTGAATCCCTTGTGTCGCATAGTTTAATTACATGTTGATAAGGCCAGAAGATCTGTTTTCACTTTCTTAATCAGGGTTCTGCTTAGTCTGCAGTATTATCACTCTGTGAAAAGGGTAGTCTTAAGCTGGCCATACACAGGTCAAATTTATGACCATTTTTCTCCAACCAGTTTGTCTGAGAAGCTTATCAGAAAACTTTGGCCAAGCAGTGTCTGCATTCAATCAGTTAAGGCATTGTCTGGGCATTGAGCAGCCACTGCTCTAGCGGCTGTTGAATACAATAGGGGCATGGGGGATTCCTCCATTTTTAACATGGATGGAGGAATCTGTTACATTTTTCAATAGAAAAAAACTAGAATAGAAATAAATCAGACTTAGATGGACACATGGTCGGACTATTGTTTTCTTTTGGATAAAAGATTTAAAAGAGCATTATGGGGCAACCTTTTTTGGCCATAGTTCTCTTTAGGGTCACAGTATTAGACATATACTAATGTCCTCCTGTGACCCAAAACTCAGCATATAACCGGCTATTGTCCGCTATATGCTGACAGTACAGAGCCACGCTGCAGCCGGGACGAATCCCGACAATACTGTTGAGATCCATCCCGCTACCTGATCGTCATTTGTCTCTGCCTCTCTAGAGGCAGAGCCAGCTGTGCCCGCTCCCTCCCTGTCTGTTCCTCCAGTCAGTGCTGGAGAAACAGAGAGGGGGGGGAATCCCTACGGGGATCGGTGACTGACAGAAGATCATGAACTGAGCGATCCGTGGTTTGTGATCGCTCAGTTCCCGCTCAATAGATCTGATGTGTGACGGCTTCAGTGTCACACGTCGGCTCTAATTATGGGGATGAGCGTAATTCACTCTCCCGATAACTCTCCTTCAATCCATATGAATAAAATCTAACCATTATAAGCACCCCTGGCCGTGTTATATGGTTTGTCTGGATTGCTTTGCATGTAAATTTGTAGAAACAAATATACATGAAGGTTTAAAAAAAGGGAATTCATATATTTAACGACATACAGTTACCAGAATACAATATTTTTGGCTACTGTGGGCCTCTAAAGAGGAAATCTAGCCACATACAGTATATGAAAATATGATTTAATGTATGTTATTTGTTAACTAAAATCAATAATGTACATAGTCCCTATGCCCAACAGTTACCTACAGATGATCCAGAAGAAGGAAAAAACCTATAAAGCATGATTCATTTTGCTCAAACAGGAGAAACAAATGCCCTCCTAATCCCCTAAGGCAGTGGTTCCCAATCTTTTTACTTGCGTACCCCTTGGCAGTCCATTTGTCTAAATTGTAACCCTCAGTGGGGATGGGGCAGAGGGCAGGGCTAAGAGTGAAGCATGTAGCTCTCCGTGCCAAATGGCA